AAATGGAGTTGCTTTCTTTTTTCTGAAAGAATACAAATGATCAAAACGACCTCAAAAAGGATCCAGCAATCCCACTTCTGGGTATATATCAGAAGGAAATAGAATCTGTATAGAAGAGATGGCTTTACTCCTATGACATTGGATTCTCATTCACAATAGCCAAGATATGGAAACAACCAAAGTGCTTGCCAGTGAATGAATGAATAAAATGTGGGATATGTGTATACATACGAGGGAAATTCCTTAGCCATGACAAAGAAGAAAATCCTGCCATTTGCAACAACATGGATGAGCCTGGAGGAAATTACGCTAGTGAAATAAGCCAGAGAGAAAAAAACAAATACTTTGTGCTCACTTATCTGTGAAATCTAAAAACACAGCCAAACTCAGAGGAACAGAGAGTAGCATGTGGTTACCAGGGGTTGGGGAGTGGAAGAAATGGAGACATACGGGTCTAAGGATGCAAACTTTCATTTATAAGATGAACGATTTCTGGGAATTGGAACTGGCATAGTGCTCTATTGTATACGTGATGCAAAGAAAGTGAACTGTAAGCCTTCTCACCACACACACACACACACACACACACAGTAACTATGTGAGGTGACAGATGTGGTACTCAACTTGGTGGTGATCATTTCACAGTACACATGGATATCAAGTCATTACATTGCATACCTTAAATACATATAATTTTGTCAATTAAACCTCATTAAAGCTAAAAAAAGTTAACTCAAATGAGAGAACTATCTAAAGCATATGTACAACAGGACAAGACTGCCTGAATTAAGAGTCAAGAAATACAGACATCACAAGAGTCTCACTATCTAGGAGTATGACAGAGTCCAGGTACCACCTTTTTGTCAGTCTCCTCTTGTATTGTTTGACCTTTGCAAATTCTAAGGAAAGCAATTATAGGCTTTTCTTAGAGTCTGAAGGAAGAATAAAGGGCTATAAGGGGCCCATAAGCATAAGCTCTTAATAAGGCAGAAGGACATGAATATAAGGGTCAAGAGACTGGGGTGTGAAAGAAGCTGGTCCCCAGAGGCAGGTTAGAAACAGCCTGCATCAATAGAATTGAGAGTCATCCCACTGTGAGACTTCTTGAAACTCACTCCTCCTTTCTCCACCAGCTTTGATTAGGCTATCCTTTCCCCCTTTTCATTAACTAAGTAAAAATTCACACTGTTGGTACATGTTAATTGTCTGGTCCTTCAGCTGGGTAACCTCTTCCACAAGAATCAGGAAGCTGTCTCTTTGTGCAACCTTGTATACCCATCATGTACTGGCCTGCTATTATGCCAGTCATTACATATTTGCTGAATGAATGCATGCGGCAAGCTTGGCATTTTGGGACTAGAAGCAGAGACCAATAAGAAAGGTGCCCACAGCAAGAAGAATTCCCGGCCTGTGGAAGAAGATGTGTGTGATGGAGGTACAATATCCTATTGGTGATGGGACAACTACTATAGACTTGAAGGTGAAAGTCTTCCTGAGATATGGTCTGCTGAGAGGCTGTGCAGACAGGATGGAGAGAGAATATCTCACAATATGATATACCATGGGGGGAAAGGTATGGTTTTTTTTTTTTTTCATTTATTTTTATTAGTTGGAGGCTAATTACTTTACAATATTGTAGTGGTTTTTGCCATACATTGACATGAATCAGCCATGGATTTACATGTGTTCCCCATCCCGATCCCCCCTCCCAAAGGTCTGGTTCTATACCTTCCTTTAAAAAGTCAAGTTCACAAGCACTATCTGGAGAGATCAGGTTTAAGCTCAATATCACAAGGAAAGGGGAAAAAGACAGACTGAGATCTTGGTAAACAACAAGCTCAAGATGAGCCACAGACAGGGGACTTCCCTGGTGGTCGAGTGGTTAAGACTCTGCACTCCCAATGCAGGGGGCACAGCTTTGATCCCAGGGCAGGGCTAACTAAGATCCCACATGCTCCAAGGGGTGGCCAAAAAGAAAAAAAATGAGTGACAGAAAGTGATCACCAGAATTCTTACGTTGAGGTACACTGCGCTGGTGGGTTCTGCAGTCTCCAGTGATGAAGGTGACAGACGTGAGTTACCTGAGTGGCTCTGGGCTGCCAGGCCGTAGCATGACTTTCCTTTCTGAGCGCTACACTTGTACAGAGTTAAACTTGAACGTCGTCAGAAGAGAGGCTCCCAGGATGACAAAGATGTTCAAAAGTAAGTCATGTGAGGAACAGTGAAAGGAACCGGGGCTATTTTGCTCAAAGAANTGACAGACGTGAGTTACCTGAGTGGCTCTGGGCTGCCAGGCCGTAGCATGACTTTCCTTTCTGAGCGCTACACTTGTACAGAGTTAAACTTGAACCTCGTCAGAAGAGAGGCTCCCAGGATGACAAAGATGTTCAAAAGTAAGTCATGTGAGGAACAGTGAAAGGAACCGGGGCTATTTTGCTCAGAGAAGAAGTTCAAAAGAGGCACGAGGGCTGTCTTTGAGCAGCTGAGGGGCTGTCAGCTGGAGGCTTTAGTTCGGAATGACCTTGAGGGCAGAACTGGAACTAACAGGCCGAAGCTACATGCTGACACATTTCAGCTCGATACAAGTGAGAAGGCAAGCCGCCAGATCTTGGGACCGGGAGCAGGCGGAGCTGCCTCAGCAGTTAGGGAGCAGCCTGTGCCTGCAGGCACGGCAGCCACGTCGTGTGAGGGCGGGCAGCCAGGCTGCATGGGCCGTCAAGGGCTGCGCTGCAGGTCAGAGCAGCCGGCTTCAGATTCGCTCCCAACATCCAAATCCTGCGGTTTCAGCTTCCATGTTCCTCATGAGAAACACTTGAAACGAGTTACGTAAAAGTGCTTTATGAACTCTAAAGTGTTTTACAAATACAAGGTATTAGTACTAATTTTTCATCATCTTGTAAGATGTCAGTTCTACCCCAATTGCCATTTTCTCTACATCTCTGTTCTCTCTCTTCAAACCCATAATGATTTTTAATTTATAAATGCCAAATTTCTTATTATGATGACTACTATTCCCCATCTAGGATTTCAAATTTTCAAAACCCCTCATAAATAATAAATGGTTCTTCATCTTTTATAAATGAGGGAAAGGCCTTACATTCCATGTGCTAAACCTGGGCCTGATCTTAGTGTGTATAAGTACAGAGTAGCTAAGTTCTCACACATCACTTAGGCGCAGAACTCCTTATAATCAATAGCTCACTGAAATTTGTGCAACAAAGTTTCCACATTAGTAAACAAACAATTAACAAACATATTAATAAATTATCTTCAGTCTACATTGACAGAATGTGAGTTGGGCCCTTTATCCAGAGTGCTCTCTAGGGTCTCATGAACTCATCAGCAATAATAATATCTGTTATTTGGTGGCATAACTAATTTTTCACAAGGTATTTGGACTTGGAAAAATTACTTGCCAGATAAATGAAAGTCCCAATCCTCTTTTGGGTCTTCAAAATATTTTCTCCACCAAACTCCAATATCATCTCTAACAAGTAATGACTTGACAACTTTGAAATATCATTTCTTTTCCTTCTTCTACGCTCTTTAAAGGATTTAATAGAAAGTGACATAGGCAGAAGTGGGCTGAGAGAAAAAAAACTAGAACCAGGAAGAAAGCAAACTGGATACAGATTCTCCTCAAAAGTAGTTACCTAATTTACAAAGCAACTCTCTCATCCACACATGTGTTCTCCAAACCATTTATCTATTTGATTCTGTGACTTAAACCTAGAAAAGAAAAGGGATTCCGAGGCTGGAATTTATACAGGGCATTAGAGAGACGGTAAGGCAGTCCATGGAGTCACAAAGAGGCAGACAGAACTGAATGATTAGCACAAGACACACACAAAACTTGGCTGAGAATAAATACAGAGAGTTTTTGACTCACTTCTCTTTGGATGCTAAGTATCATTGAGAAGGAAACAGATTTTTAAAAGAAGCCTTTAGGGACTTCCCTGGTGGTCTGGTGGTTAAGGCTCTGCGCTCCCAATGCAAGTAGCAAGGGTTCAACCCCTGGTGAGTTAACTAGATCCCACATGCCGCAACTACAGATTGTATGTGCCATAACTAAGACCCGGCACAGCCAAATAAATAAACAAATATTTAAAAAATAAATAAAATAAGTGTTTATATTCTGTCTTCTCTCTAACACGTTTGGGTACTTATATTCTGTTACTGAGGTTTAACTTTTCATACAGGTTACACTTCATCACATGAAGATGAGATTTGTGAAGAAAAACTACTAAATACTTTTGCATACTATGATTAGTATGATTAGCATAGCACATACTATGATTAGCTTCCCTTGTGGCTCAGCTGGTAAAGAGTCTGCCTGCAATGCAGGAGACCTGGGTTCGACCCCTGGGTTGGGAAGATTCCCCTTGAGAAGTAAATGGCAACCCACTCCAGTATTCTGGCCTGGAGAATCCCATGGACTATACATGGATCATACAGTCCATGGGGTTGCAAAGAGTCAGACACGACTGAGCAACTTTCACTTTTCATATTATGATTAACAGTATAGAAAACTCTAAGGATGAGTATTGGCGGAAACCCCTGCAAGTAGCTATGAAAAGTCAGGCAGAGGCAGGAATAAATGCGGTCAGGAATCTTTGGCTCATCTCCTTGCATGCCGCCAGCATTCCCTATTTCATCTTTGTGCAGAGGCTGCTGAAAAAGCAAGACAATGCAGCTGGTCTTCATTGACCCAACACATCGTGTGGTTTGCCTCATATTAATCTATGCTTGAAGAACAAGCTCTGGATTGAACACTTGGATAACAGTAGATCTAATGGGTGTCTCCTAGTGTTGAATAGATGTTCATAACCTTTTAGTATTAAAGAGGAGGAAATTCAAGGCCACCATATTCAATGTGTTTGCTATGTTTGCATTCATGTAGACATAAGTAAAATATTCTTTTCATTGAGCAGAAGGTGGATCTTTGAGAAACACAAGCTTCGCCAATGATAAATCTCCAATTCCCCACGGCTAGGACATACCTTGATTCCCATAGCTGCTTTCTATTCCAGAGCCATCCCATGAGTCCACGGCACTGTCCACGCTGGGCACAGTGGAGGGGTATGTGTCACTGAGTTTGCTTGGCTTCTGTGCTGGAGATGGGTCCTCCACATCTCCCAGATCACTCAAGTGGCTGGCAACGGGGAATTTCTTGGGACTTGATGCTGACTGGGCTTTAAGGAAAAGAGCTTAAGTATCAGAGTAAATATAAATACAAAGATATGCCAACACACCCTGGCTGAAGAGTCGTTTCCCCAGAAATACACATGTAGATATTTGCACATTCTTTTAGGGAAGGAAATCCACTAGAAATCCTTAATTGTGGCTCTTGATCCACTCACCATCTGTCTGCTTCTTAATTTTCAGGGTGACAGTCTCTCCTGCCATCTGTAACAAATGGATGGCTTCACTCAGAGGCTTCCCTTTTAAGCTGCTGCTGTTGATGGCTAGGATTCGGTCTCCTATGTGGATCGCACCAGTTCTGAAACACCAAATAATAACAGGAAAGGTAGAAATAATCCCTGAATGCTACTGAATGTAAATTCCCTGACATACTTCATATGTTCACAGCAATAAAGACTTGGCAAGGGTCTCTTGAAGTCACTCCTTGCCTTCTCCTGGGCAATGTTATAAGATGACTACTTCCATTGTGAATTACTTTTCAGTTTCAAATAAAATTTAAAAAAAAATTTTAATTAGTTTTTTTAAAAGGACTTGTGTGCTTTTTAAATTCCAAGAAAATGGAGTCATTTGATAACACTCTTCAAAACCCCAAGGAAACAAACAATATTGGTCAATCAACATAGTGATGTTTAGTATGGGAGCACTCCTTCTTTCTACAGACTTAGAAATGTTGAACACAATCAGTGTCCCAGCTTACTGGAAGCAAGGCTTAGACAAAAGGCCCTGGTGGTGATTCCAAGGATTGAAAAGGCTGAACTCAGGAATCAGTAGATTTTTTTCTTTTTGTGGCCAAGTCACGTGGCTTGCAGGATCTTAAGATCCCAGTTCGCAGGGATCAAAACTGCGACCCCGGTAGTGGAAGTGCAGAATCCTAACCACTGAACTCCCAGAGAAGTCCCAGGAATCAATTTGTTTGATGCCAACTCTGTCACCTACCAGCTGTGTGACTGGACAATTTATTTTCACCTGTCTAGGTGTCAGTTTCCTCATCACTACAGTGGAGGAAACCACCTCACAGGGAAGCTCTGAGGACTAAATAGGAAAACACATGTAAAGGGATTAACATTCTGCTTGAAATGGAAAAGGAAAATTAATTTACTGATCAATAAAGAAATCTTCAATGTTTTCCCTTCTCTTTCCATCCTCACCCAATTCTGAACTAGCAGACTGGAAGTTATAATTCTGATGTTCACCATATCTATCTTTGTTTGGAAGCACAGGTGGGGAAGGAACAGACTCACAGCAGTCAAACTCAGGAAAGGTTTAATTTTATTTTTTGGCCACCATGTGATTAACAGATGAAACCTAGCACAGGGGGATGGCTAGAGGATACCATGTCTTAGGTGTCTGTCAGCATCAGAATACAAAATTTCAACAGACCACCCTTTTGGAGCGGCTTCAGTGCCCTCGCCTACCAGATGAGGATGCTGGATAAGCCAATTCTAAGGTGCCTTGCAGCTCCAAAATTCGGTGATGCTACATCTCTATTTTGCAAACCTCTGTCTTCTAGTGTCAGCATAAGCAACGTATGTGCATACCTGAGCTAGGTTGCTGGAGGATAGGTCTGGTTATGGGGTTTGAAGTATGTCCCACAACATTGTCTTGGAAAGAAATCAGTGTGAGAAGTGGTGGTGGGACGCATGCAAACAGAAACAAATTGCCAAAGGGACAAATGGAGATTCCAAATTTCAAGATGTTATTAAGTCCCTACACTGTTGTCTGAAATCTTTGAAGATGAAGCTTATGTCAGTCATTCTCTCAGCGGCTAAGCCAGGTAACAGAGGCTCTATAAACATTTGCTGAATTGAATCAGACAAGCCTTTTAACCTCCTTGAACTTTAGTCTCCTCCTCTCAAAATGGACACAAGATAAATTTACCTCTAGTCGACTGTGGTCAGTTTATACGTTTCTGGAGAATAATATCAAGGCTAAGCCCAGGACACTTTTTACTGCTTATAAGATGCCCTTCAAGTCAGAGCTCTGCCTGAGAGTTCTCAAGCTCTAAAATCAATCCTTTGTGAGATTTGAAAAAGTCAACAGATAAACAACCAGGAGAGGGAAGCATGTTTTTACGCAGCTGTGGGGAAGGAAACCCATTTCAGACACAGGTAATTGTAGCAGTGGATTCAAATAGTACCTTTCAGCTAATCCCCCTTTAGTGAGGCTTGAAATGATTATAGGATCAAACGGCTCTTCAGTTCCTGAAATTGTGATGCCAAGAGGCCCCCCATAGCGCTTCAGCTCCACAGTGTAAATAATTGCTCCGGAACTTTCTTGTTCATCTGCAATAAATGCCAATGAATCATAATTGGTTTCTTTGGAAGAAGCAGAGTAAAAAGGCACATAGCTTCATACATGAAATAAGAAACTCAAAACATCATCATCAAAGCATTATGTCTCAGAAAATAATTATCTTGGGAAGTAGCATTTCCTTAGTTGGCTGTAACATTCTAATATAGGGATGTTGCTGTCATCAACGGTCAAGGAAGGGGTTCTCTGCCTAATGACTTATGGTTTAAACCTGTGAGAGAGCTACCCAGCCGGCACTGCAGGCCTTTTAATATGGTGGTCCTGCCCTGCACAGTGCTTGCCTAGTGTTTTGTGAGGGTGTCATAAATATCTGGGGACTGAAGATATAGCTAAGGAGCCAATATGGGTGGAGAGACTCATGCAGTAAACAAAGAGATTGGGCCATGCAATTCCTGTTTTCAGGCTTTACAAGCAAGCTAACTCTCAATAGAGAACAGTTGATTTTACTCATGGTTAGAGCAAACTTTAATATATGTATGGTTAAGTGGGGCTTGAGAATCTGCAGCCCCTTATCTATCGTTTCATAGATTGTGTCTTAAAATATGAGTCTTATTCACAAGTACACAGATATTCAAACAGAGGGTTTTTAAAAAATTGTTTGTTGTAGCTGATTTACAATGTTCTGTTCATCTCAGTTGTACAGTAGTGATTCAGCTAAACATATATCCACACTTTTTTAGATTCTTTTCCCAAAACACAGGGTTGAATGATTTTTCTCCTCTCTGTTCTTGAGACTAGGAGTCATGTAAATGACATTTCAGTAGCATATACCATGTCGCCACACTGCAGTGACCTAATTTTTACCATCTAATGTTGGTATGAAGGAAAATATTTGTGAGTATGGTCTGCTTAAAGCCTTGGCTTGAAAGATATCATGGGACACCTTCAACATGGTCGGGTGTTTTGACCGTGTCAAGATTGCAAATATGAAGTCTCAAAATTCAGAGGGTTTTATTTGCTGATGACATGCTGAAACAAGACATTCTGAGTATTTCTTGTTTTATTCCTTGGGCCTGAAAGCTGTGAATGGTTAAGGAGTTGTTCATTGCTGTACCAAAGGATACAGTGAAATGGTTCAGTAGATACTATAACAAAATAGTCAGCTTTTATAGTCAGGCTGTATCCCAGTGAAGCATTAACACAGTCATATTTCTGCAATGAGCAGCTGTTCATTTATGATATGAGGCCCTAAAATAGGAGGAATAGAAAAGCTTGAATTAACAATTCAATTATCTGTGTGTGCAGTGAAGAGTTACAATGAATATAAAATAGAAAGGTCTGTAGAGAAATGTAGGAAGTGATGTGTATTCTCCAGCCAGCACTTTCTTCACTTCTGCCCACAACTTAGGAGTTTGGGGATGTACCCATCACCTCTACTTCCTCACTGCTCCATCTACCCAGAAGAAGCTCTATACATAGAGAATAAAAACCATCTCCCATACTGCAATGCTTAAATCAACATCTAGGGTATAAACATCTTCAACATTAGACTAAGATTTATACTGGCAGCTGAGAATCCTCCACATCAAGCCTTCAACAGCTCTATCTGGTGGTTTACATACTTCTTCCAGGGTTCTATTTTTACTTGTGGTCAATAGGCATGCAATGAGCAGCTGTTCATTTATGATATGAGGCCCTAAAATAGGAGGAATAGAAAAGCTTGAATTAACAATTCAATTATCTGTGTGTGCAGTGAAGAGTTACAATGAATATAAAATAGAAAGGTCTGTAGAGAAATGTAGGAAGTGATGTGTATTCTCCAGCCAGCACTTTCTTTACTTCTGCCCACAACTTAGGAGTTTGGGGATGTACCCATCACCTCTACTTCCTCACTGCTCCATCTACTCAGAAGAAGCTCTATACATAGAGAATAAAAACCATCTCCCATACTGCAATGCTTAAATCAACATCTAGGGTATAAACATCTTCAACATTAGACTAAGATTTATACTGGCAGCTGAGAATCCTCCACATCAAGCCTTCAACAGCTCTATCTGGTGGTTTACATACTTCTTCCAGGGTTCTATTTTTACTTGTGGTCAATAGGCTGGTGATGGCCTGCCAAGCAGCTGCTGAGAGAAGCACCAGGATACAGAGTAACCAAAAACGGAGGCATGGTCACAAGTCTAACTTCTTCTACTCTGTGACATATCATTATCCATCAGAGCAGGGTTTTACATAAACGATTAGGGTATTACTGGAAGAGCACATGTACTTTGCAGTCTCTGCCAACAATTATATTCTGCATATAATTCTAGGGGAGTCCTTTGATTAGTAAACCTTGGTACAGTAAATGTTAGTCACCGAGGGGGCACTCTGATGTGCCTGCCAGTGGGAAGCCCTGGCCGTTTTACTGCCCTTCTTCCCTATAGGGCAAGCATGAACACTGGCATGTCATGGGCACCAGGCATTCTGGATCTGGCCATCAGCTCCTTACGGGAGTTGTAGGAAATGCCAGTCACCAAGTACATGGAGCCCAGCTGCCCAGAACCCGGAAATCTGTGGGACGTTCCCGTTGAAACTTCCATCCAGATGAAAACAACCACTGGCCTGTAGGAAGCTGAGCTGGGGTGCAGTCCCACTCACTAGGAGAGTGGAGAAACTGACTCCAGTTAGCTGGCTCTTCAGGGAACCCAGTTCTCTGAACCCAGGTAACAGTGAGTGCCCTGTGTTATTTCTGGACAGGTTTGCAACTTGTATCACTAAGATGACAAAGTAACACAAAGAAAGGAGTAAATGTGTTTAGGACAGTTTTAGGTTACTTTATGTAGGGCAACACTTTTAATCAGGCAGCTGAAGTGCTTCAATAACAAAAGCAATTGTTAGGGTACTCAACAAGTTTAAATAGTGATGCGATGCAAGTCAAGAAAATGGCAGAATATTAATGAAGATGTGATGCTGTATTTAGACCATGTCAAGAATGTAGCTGATTGCTGACTTATTCAACAAATAAACTCTTGGAAACAAAAACTTGAAAGGAAAGATTTAGAAACATTACAACCAAAAGCAAGGAATACATCTTTTTGGATTCTAATTTAGAGCAACTACTTTGAGAAAAACTTATCTATCCATGTATATGAAAATCAGGGAGACAGGAACTTGAGTAAAGACTGGTTCCAAATCGGGAAAGGAGTACGTCAAGGCTGTATATTGTCATCCTGCTCATTTAACTTATATGCAGAGTACACCATGCGAAATGCTGGGCTGGATGAAGCACAAGCTGGAATCAAGATTGTGGGGAGAAATATCAATAACCTCAGATATGCAGATGATACCACACTCACAGCAGAAAGTGAAGAAGAACTCAAGAGCCTTTTGATGAAGCCTCTTGATGAAGGTGAAAGAAGAGAGCGAAAAAGTTGGCTTAAAACTCAGCATTAAAAAAACTAAGATCATGGCATCTGGTCCCATCACTTCATGGGAAATAGATGGGGAAACAATGGAAATAGTGACAGACTTTTATTTTGGGGGGCTCCAAAATCACTGCAGATGGTGACTGTAGCCATGAAATTCAAAGACGCTTGCTCATTGGAAGAAAAGCTATGATCAACCTAGACAGCATATTAAAAAGCAGAGACATTACTTTGACAACAAAGGTCCGGCTAGTCAAATTTGTGGTTTTTCTAGTAGTCATGTATGGANGAAACTCCCCTCCCATCCAGGCCCATCCAATTAAGGTTTTGGTGGCACAACAGTAAAGAATCTGCCTGCCAATGTAGGAGACACTGGTTCGATCCCTGGGTCAGGAAGACCTCCTGGAGGAGGAAATGACAATCCACTCCAATATTCTTGCCTGGAAAATCCCATGGACTGAGGAACCTGGTAGGCTACAGTCCCTCGGGTCACAAAGAGTCAGACACAACCTAGTGAGTAAATAACAACAACAACGACAACAACCAGATCCTATGACCCGCCTGCCCACCAAGCAGGGTGCCACGGGCTCTTGAGGACTCAGCTCTGCCCCGTTGCTATAGCAACGGTTTCTCCCTAAATTGTTTTCCTACTTAAGATCCAGTCTTTGTCCTTGTCTGCCACATCTATTTTCACCAGCCCCACCAACACTGAATTCTTTCTTTTTCCTTCCCAGAGTATCCTGAAAGCAATAAATCTGAATATGTGGCTCTCTTCCTTACAGCCTTCCATTAGCTCCCCGATTACTGGAGAATACAACGCAACCTTGGCACGAACAGGGCTGAAGCCTCTATGTCTTCTGCCATCCTCTCGCATTCCAACCCAATCTAATTCTCTCCCCAGTGGTCCCTTCGAAAAGCACCTGTCTTGCAGCTTTAACCTTGCACAGGTTACTCCCTGGGCACAAACATCTTCCTTCCTCTGGAGAATTTTATTCTCACTTTATTTTTTGAGGCTTTTTATTTTGTATTGGGGTATAGCTGATTAACAATGCTGTGACAGTTTCAGGTGAACAAAAAAGAGACTCAACCATAAATGTACATGTATCTATTCTCCCCCAAATTTCCCTCCCACCCAAGCAGCCACAAACATTGAACAGAGTTCCATGTGCTATGCAGTAGGTCCTTGTTGGCTATCCATTTTAAACCTAGCAGTGTGTACACGTCCATTCCAAACTCCCCAGTTATCCCTTCCTCCCATCCCCCCCCCCCCAGCAACCATAAGTTAGTTCTCTAAGTCTGTGAGTCTCTTTGTTTTGTGAGTTCATTTGTTCATCTCTTTTTAGATTCCACATAGAAGGGGTGTCATATGATATTTCTCCTTCCCTGACTCACTTCACTCAGCATGACAGTCTCTACATCCATCCCATGTTGCTGCAAATGGCATTATTTCATTCCTTTTAATAGCTGTCTACCCTCACTTTAGAACATGGCTTAGCTGTCTTATCTTTCTGCAAACCTTCCAGGCTCCTTAGCTGAGACTAGAGACCTTTACCATGAGATCCTACAGCTCTTACGTATTCTTGCAGTGTTCCCATACTTCTTTATAAAAATTTTTTGCC